AAGGTTATAACTTGAGAGACAGAGATCAGTGTTCACTGTTGTTTTAGTCTAGCAAATGCAAGAGAGATGAGTCAAAAGACCACACAATGGATATAACATCATCTTAGAGGTTTCCTCCAAGAGTGTAGGGCAAGTAAATGTGTGCATAGTACATAAAAACATAAATCCCATAAATTGTAAGTGCTGCCAAATGCTGTCTTTCAACAAAATGTCCATTCTATAAATGAGCTAGTCTTGAAATTGCATGAGAGATTTATAAGGGACATCAATAAAGCCTAGAGTTCGCTACAGGAAAGAGATTAAGTTCGTGTACAAAGCACAGCTTTCTAACACTTTGCTCATATGAGTGTAGCATTTGTTTTCCTCCATTAACTCATTTTTGTGAATTGCATTTCCCCCAGATACATGAGCCAGTCATCAGCATCAATTTTATTCCTTTCATTTTCTGTTTGTTTACAAAAGATCTGTTTGCTGAGAAATTCTCTACTGTGAAGAACGGAACGAATTTGGCTGGAGCCATGTCTCTCAATTCCTTGACTTTCTGCAGTAGATGATAAAACAGGAATGAGTGTTCAGGCTTTCAGAGCTTATCTTGAAAACCCTATCAATTCACAACATAATTAATGTTATCACAGTTTTGTTATATGCAAAGAATTAGAAACCATCAGACTTGCAAAAACATTGTACCCAGACAGATAGTCATTCACTTTCTCAATGGCTGTGGCATCTTCTGAAAAGGCCTTTACAGGGCTTACACATTTATTTACCACTAATTACACATATTACGTTTCACTTAAAGACATCTTGTTTAATGTGACTTAGAAATATTTGCGAAACTAAAAATCAATTTCAGTATACTACTACCAAGATAACATTTGTCATAAAATTATTTCATTATTTTACTAAATATGTATTTTGTTCCGTATTTTGAATTAGGAATTCCATGCTTCGAAATTTTATTCTTATTTTTATTTTCTGTGTTAGTTTTCCTTGACATTTACATGAGTATTTTCTAATTTACTTTTCAGAACTCCTTCAGGATGAAATTGGTATGAAATTGGTAACTTTTTTCTGACTTTTTTTGAAGATGTATTTTGTAGAAATATTTTCCCTTTGTTTTCTTCACTTCCTTTATATATAGGCTTAAGTTACTATCTTCTAGATAATTTCATTATAAGGTTGGTTAAATGAAGGGGATTAGACTATGAAGAATGTATTTTTACCTGTTTAGTAGAAACCTTTCTTTAACTTGAGTCCTTGAGCATGTCTTCTGAGATGGTGTGTCCATTGTTATGTATATAACATTGCCCCAGTTTTTAAAGTAAGGGATTAGATTCCAAACCTGGTGAGAGAGAGAAGGTTTTCCTTTTAATTTACACACTTCATCTACTGTAAGTTTCTCTTGTTGGCCTTTTATATATTTGTCTATTACTGACGTCACATGTAAACCTGAGACTTGGTAGTTCCCTTCTTTTGGCCTTACCCTCCTGTGGTCCAATATATATAAACATTTTTCCTCATTTTCCCTGCTTATTTTCTCTTCCCAACCTTCATTATTATTCTTCTTTCATTTTTATTTTAATCCACCCAAGCAGTATTCAACAAATTGTTTTCAGGATATTTTATATTGCATTGCATTTTTCACTCAAGAAACTTCAGTGCTATTGTATCTCTGCAGGGTAACGCTATTTCATAAGGTATTCCTACAACACTTTTTAGTACCTCACTACAAGAATTGTCTCATGACCCTTCATATTAGATAGTATTCTTCAAATTGAAGCAAATTTTTCATTTGGAATGGACTTTAGAGATTTCTCTCATTTTTCAAATGTGCATTACTTGACCAATATGCAGACACAGACATTAGCAGATGTATGGCTTTATTTGCATCTTTTTATAATGTTAAGAAGTCCTGTCAAATATATGCGTATTCATGTATTTTCTCTCAGGTAGGAGGAAGGCTCAATTCAAGTCTGGTGAGTAATGCTTATCTCTCAGAAATCTCCATTCTTCCATCTCTCTTGGGTTTTGCCCCTATAACAGGAGGATAGGATGCAAAAGTAAAATAAAAATGTTTATATTCAGCAAAGAAGCATTTGTTTTTCTTTATTTAAATTTCTGTAATTTCAATGTATTCTCTCTGAGGCATAAATGAGAAGAGATTCAGCATGTTTTTCCTCCTCTCCTCCTTCCTTCTTTCTTGTCTTTATTTGCTGCTCCCTCCTTCTTGCTCTTCTTCTGTCCCTCCCACCTTTTCTTGCTTCTATATTTCTACCTGTCTTACACCTGACCGTTTTTATTATCATGTTTGAAAGAAATGGAATATGAAAGCAATACAGAATGGATAGAGGAAGTCCAAGGGATTCAAAAGAAGAAATAGGACAAAGACAGGAAGAAATGGGAAAGACGATGAGAGAAAATAGGGAAGAAAAGAAGGTAAAGAGTGTTCTATTTTGTTCTTTTGCAGTCTGGAGGAATGCACCATTATATGCTGGTGAGTGATGTGGAATCTGAAGAAGAATGTCCTATTATCGAAGATATCTTAAATGAACACTTGCAGTGTGTGAAACAATATACTGAAAATCAAAGAAACTCCAAAGCATATACAACATGAATGCCATAGATTACTCAATATTTTAACAGATAATCATGTCTTTAAAAAATTAAATTTTAGCAGTTTTTTTTAATTGCATCTTACATTGTGTTTTGAGCATGTGTAGAGCAGTTCACCTGCTAAACTCTAAGGAAACTAAGTGAAAATTAAGTTATTTGGTCAGACACACTGTGTTCCCTACTTCCTCTCAAACATCCTAAATAGATTATAGATATTTATATTGGAGGAACGTTGGGATCTCAAGTCAGACATAATTCAGTGGACTGTAAAAAGAAGTTCAAGGTTTGAAAATGTATATTTTTGGTTGCTATTACCTTTGAGTTAATCCTAGGGAATTTATACTCATAGTATTTTGGACAGACAGGCAGCTTCATCTTTCATATGATGGGTTCTCATGTTTATTTTTTCCTTGCAGATTGGAGGAAAGAAGAATTTGAAGCTGGTGAGCCTATGATGATCTTCAAGGGACCTTGACCTTTGTGGGATAGTCTGGAAGAATGTTGGATGGAAGTGAGCTGGGTCTACCCAGGGCCAGAGGAGTCCTCACAGAATGGGAATCTTCTGGCCCAGGCCTACTAAGACCCTTCCCAGAAACGTGATGGTCCACTTGTCTTTGCAGTAAACATGACCCTGGATGCAGCCACTGCCCATCCTGCCCTCCTTCTGTCTGAAAAAGGGAGACAAGTTACCTGGCAAGAAACATGTCAAGATCTACCCAGCTCTCCACAGAGATTTGACTCCTTTCCCTGTGTGCTGGGTCAGCCACACATCAGGTCAGGGAGATGCTACTGGGAAGTACAGGTTAAGGAAATGCTGTCCTGGGACTTGGGAATTTGTAGGGATAATGTAACCAGGAAGGGGAGAGTCACAATGTCCCCACAGAATGGTTTCTGGGCCATTAGGCTCTATAAGGGAGAATACTGGGCCCTCACCTCTCCAGTAACATCTCTTATTCTAAAAGAAACTCTCTTTAGAGTAGGGATATTCCTAGATTATGAGGCTGGAGATGTGTCTTTCTATGACATGACAGCTGGATCCCACATTTTCACCTTTCCCCAGAATACATTCTGTGGTGACCTAAGGCCACTTTTCAGACTTTGGTCCTCTGAGTCAGGCCCCCTAACCATCTGTCCAGGGGAAGGAGAAAGCTACTGATGTTGTAATTCATATGCCTACCTCTCCATGAAAAATGATTATTTGGGGGCCCCATGAAGATCACAATTCTCCCGCAATGAGATATAAATTGATTTTTTCTACTCCTTACTGGATCATTCTCAAGATGAAACTCTGGGACACAGACTTACAATTGCCCTTCATTTCACGTCTCCCTTCTTCTTTAGTTTTCTTCTTATTATTACCTTTTCCTATGATAACCTCGTATAAATATTAGATTTCCTAGCCTCCCCTGTTGTATATGACTAAATGATAGTGGTGTATTAAATGCTGAATTATAAAGATGTGTTCTTAAAAGAAAATTGTGTCTTTTCTTCTTTACTTTTTCTTCTGGCTGTAATATGTCATGATGGATGGAACTGAAAGAACACGTATGACCCTGTAATATGACATGGATGTCAGAGAAATTAAAAAGAACTTGCATTTTTGACAACTCCATGGATCTACTCCAATGCCCAATTCTCAAATTTTTTTATGTGAGATATAAACTTTTATATCTCAATCAATTTATATGTTCGATATTTGTCACTTGTGATTGATTCTCACCCTTCCTGCTGCACTCTCCCCTTACGTTTGGCAGCAAATGACATCCACAATTGAATATACAGGTGAAACTGGAGATGTAAACTCCAGTCCTTGATTACTTAGCTACCGCTTCTCTTCCAGGGTGTCACTCTAATTAGGCCCCTCAATTTTTCCTGATCATGAGTCACTCCTGAGTTCACTTCCTGACCTTTCTTATTTAGATGCTATGGCTAATAATTTGAAGTATTCTCTTACTAATAAATGAAAATCCTGGTGTCACTGTCCTGTCACATCAACTTTGCAAAATTCCAAATTAATCTAGTTATCCTTTTCTTATACTGGTAGCTTAGCCTGCTATAACATCCCACACAAATGAGTAGATTGTTTCCTTCATACATGTGTACCTATATATCAATTCTTGGACACCAGCAGTATCTGATAATCCTCCTATGCATCTCCAGCCATTTGCATTCCCTTATTTTTCAGGTAATTCCAGTAAAAAAAATTCCACTTTTTTTAAACTTCCAACTCTACTATCCCCTTATTCTCAGTTTATGACTATATTCCCTCTTTGAATAAAAATATGATAGCAAGAGGAAGAAGAAGAAGAAAAAGAAGGATCTATCAGAAGGGTACTGTATGCAGATAACAAACCTATTTAATTGTGCACCTCTCCATTATTCCTTCCTCCTTGTTATATTAAAAGAAATATTCCTCTTCCTTTACAGGAAGCTCCAATTCTTCTTCCCCACATCCATCCTGTACTGCCTCTTTGGTACTTGGATCTACCAATTATTCCTCTTAGCTTTTGTACAAGCTTCTCCCCATAAACCTAAAAATTTTCAAAATCTTTCCCAGGTTAAAATCAAAACAATACAATTTTCCATCAACTCTGTGTCCTCCAATATACTCTCCTAACTCATTCTCTTTTCATAATAAAACTTCTCAGAATGGTTATCCAAATAATCTATTTATATTTCCCTGTTTCCCATTTCCTCCTCTGCATACTCTATATTATGGGTAGAATTGTGTCCTCCACCACCAACCCATACCCCTCAGAATTCACATGTTAAAGTCATAATCCCCAGTATTCAGAATGTGACTTCATCTGGAATTAGGGTCCTTATGAATGTAATTGGCTAAGATGAGGTCATACTGTAGTAGGGTGAGTCCCTAATCCAACATTACTGGTGTCCTCATAAAAAGGTTAAATTTGGACACAAACATGAACACATCATATCAAGAATGGAGTTTGGTGCCACAAGCCAAGGAACGTCCAAGATTGCTGGCAAAGCTTGAAAAGTTAGAAGAGAGGCATGGAACAGATCCTTTTCCTGTACTTTGAGAGGAAGTATAGTCCTGCTGATACCTTGATCTCAGACCTGTAGTTTTCACAACTGTGAGACAACAAACTTCTCTAGTTTAAGCCACTCATTTCTCTAGTTTAAGCCCTAGCAAAGTAATACATTCTATTTTTATTCCAATACATTCTATTTTTATCCCAAGAATTTCACGGAACTTTTCCCACTGAAGTCATCATTCTCTCAGTGGGTCTCAGTGGATACAACAGCAGTTATGTGAACCACATGTGTCTTCAGTACATACCCACATTTCTCTGGAGGGACAGCCTTAGCGCTCCAGTATTTGGGGGAGCCAACTGAGTATAGTCTTCAGGTAATAAGCGCTAGGCATTAAGAAGACAAGCTACACACTCACAAAGAACCATCAATTCCTCTAAAATAGTTTCCTGAAATTCAGTCACAACTTTTCTTTTCAAAAGCAGTATTTGAACCCAACATACTAGTCAAACTTTATCTGCCTGTTTTATGGTTCATCTCCTGTATATTTTATACAGCCTAAGAGATAGTCAAAAAGGAAAGCAAAGAAACAATCCCTTTTAAAATTGCATCCAAAAAAATAAATAAATAAAGTACTTAGGAATAAATCTGACCAAGGAAGTGAAAGACTTATACTCGAAGAACTACAAAACATTGACTAAGGAAATTAAAGACAATTTAAAGAAATGGAAAGATAGCTCATGTTCTTGGATTGGAAGAATTAATATTGTTAAAATGGCCATACTACCCAAAGCAATCTACAGATTTAATGTGATCCCTATCAAATTACCTAGGACATTTTTCACAGAACTAGAACAAATAATCCTAAAATGTATATGAATCACAAAAGATCCAGAATTGCCAAAACAATACTGAAGAAAAAGAATGAAGCTGGAGGAATAACCTTCCCAGACTTTAGACAATACTACCAAACTACGGTAATAAAAACAGCATGGTACTGGTACAAGAACAGACATATGGATCAATGGAACAGAATAGAAATCCCAGAAATAAAACCACAGACTTTTGGTCAATTAATCTTTGACAAAGGAGGCAAGAACACATAATGGAGTAGAGACAGTCTCTCCAGCAAATGAAGTTGGGATAACTGGACAGCTGCATGTAAATCAATGAAGTTAGAATACTACCTCACACCATATACAAAAATAAATTCAAAATGGCTTAAAGACTTAAACATAAGATAAGACACAATAAACCTCTTAGAAGAAAACATAGGGAAAAAAATCTGACTTAAAAATCTTAGCAATGTTCTCCTAGAGTAGTCTACCCAGGCAAAAGAAATAAAGGCAAAAATAAATAAATGGGACCTAATTAAACTTACAAGCTTTTGCACAGCAAAGGAAACCATAAACAAAACAAAAAGACAACCTACAGAATGGGACAAAATATTTACAAAAGATGAGACTGACAAAGGCTTAATTTCCAGAATATATAAACAGCTCATACAATTTAATAAGAAAAAAAAACCTAATCTAAAAATGGGCAGAAGACTTAAACAAGCAATTCTCCTGTGAAGACATACAAATGGCCAATAGGCAAACGAAAAAATGCTCAATATTGCTAATTAGCAGAGAAATGCAAATCAAAACTACAATGAGGTACCACCTCACACCAGTCAGAATCGCCATCATTCAAAAGTCCACAAACTATAAATGCTGGAGAGGCTGTGGAGAAAAGGGAACCTCCTACACTGTTGGTGGAAGTGTAGTCTGGTGCAGCCATTAGGGAAAACGATATGGAGATTCCTCAAAAGACTACAAACAGACTTCCTATATGATCCAGCAATCCCACTCCTGGGCATATATCCAGAGTGAACCTTAATTCAAAAAGATACATGCACCCCAATGTTCACAGCAGCACTATTTACAGTAGCCAAGACAGGGAAACAGCCTAAATGTCCATCAACAGATGACTAGATCAAGAAGTGGTGTATTTATAAAATGGAATACTATTCAACCATAAAAATATAAAATAATGCCATTTGCAGCAATATGGATGGATCAGGAGATTGTCATTCTAAGTGAAATAAGCCAGAAAGAGAAAGAAAAATATCATATGATATCATTTATATGTGGAATCTAAAAAAAGATAAATGAAAACAGAAACAGACTCATAGATATAGAAAACAAACTTATGATTACCAGTGCAGGAAGGAGGTGGGAAGGGATAAATTTGGAGTTTGGGATTTGCAGATACTAACTAATATATATAAAACAGATAAACAAGTTCATACTATACAGTATAGGGAACTATATTCAATATCTTGTAGTAACCTATGGTGAAAAAGAATATGAAAATAAATATATGTATGTTCATGTATGACTGAAGCATTATGCTGTACACTAGAAATTGACACAACATTGTAAACTGTTCTATATATACTTCAATAAATATATATATATGCATAATTTTTCTCATCTCATCCAAATACCTAAATTAAAGGATAAGTAAACCTTTAAGATATCAGCTTTGCCTATCAGTCTGAGGCAAACAAAGCATATGGATCAAATGTGATACTTCCTATTCACTACTGTACATTTCTTCAACTGTAACCTCCATCAAATGAAATCCACTGAAAGCTATATATCTGAACTCTTTCCACATTATTTCTTTCTCCCTGTTAGTATTTTAGAATTCCTATTGTGTGTGGTCAGTTTTCTACATCAAATGTCCCCTACCCATACTCGAAGTGCACAGACAGCCCAAAGTTCGTTGTTCTGTTTTCTTTTAACATGTACACTATATCACATTGGCAATAATGAGACATTAAGCCTGGGGGTGTATTCATCAGGGTTCTCCAGAGAAAGAGAAGTAACAGGGTATATCGAAAAAGAGATCTATTGCAAGGAATTGGCTTACACAACTGTAGGGGCTGGCAAGTCTGAAATCTGTACGGTGGGTGAGCAGGCTATAAATTTATGTAAGAGTTGATATTGCTATTGTAAGTTTGAAATCCACAGGGTAAGCCAAGCATGTTGGAAACCCAGGCAAAGTTCCCTGATGCAGTCTTGAGACATGATTCTTTTCTTCCTTGGGAAATCTCAGCCTTTGCTCTGAAGGCCTTCAACTGATTGGATGAGTCCTACCCGTATTACGGACAGTAACTTGCTTTACTTAGATTTGTGATTGTACATTCTTATCACATCTAAAAGATACCTTCATAGCAACATCTAGACTCATCTTTGATCAAATAACTGGGCACAATAGCCTAGGGAAGTTGACACACAGAACTATCACAGAGGGTGTTTTGTTTTTTTGGTTTAGTTTGAATTTGGGTTCAGGTTTATGACGGTAGTAGCAGTTATGATGGTAATACCATAGAATTATCATGTTTCTTCCATTAGAATTTTTCTGCAAATTTACAGTTAGTCTACAGTAAGACAGCTGCAATTCAGAAAACAGGCTGAGATACTAATTTATTTTGTAAAATGTTATACAATCAAATTATATATAATTCTTTTATGGTATGCTATTAACATAGTCAAAATTATGTAGTTTATTATTGTGAATGACTATTGGATTTGTAATGGTTCTGATAACTGTGCAGTATAACTAGAATGAGTCTGTGTCAATAGATAGTCAATTAAAATATGGAGTGATTATTTAAATACTAGCAATTTAAATTTATATATGTAAAAATTTTTAATGATCCCTTCCTCATCAACCTAGACCATAAAAATAGGCCAAATAAGGATTTCCACCATCAAAGTTAATTTTTAAAGTTGGCAGGTAGAGAATCCTAAAACTGGACAGCATTACTCCCCTCCTCCTGCAGCTCGCTGCTTAGCCTAAAAAAATATCTCCATGGACAGTAGGCCTCCAAGATTGAAATGAAAAATGGCTTTGCAAAGAGAGTATGGTCTTTGGAGTCAGAAACTCTGCCATTTGTTGGCTGGGCAACTTCAGATGTTTCCATCTTAAAGGGTTTCATGGTGAAGGTTATTGAGGATTAAATGAGTTTGTACTTGGAAAGTATCTACTACAGAGCCTTATAGTTCCTAGACACTCAATAAAAGGGAGTCTTACTGCTCTTCTTGTTCTCCACAATGGCTTATGGAATCCCATTCACTGGCTCATTCTTCCTAGCACCACAGACCTTTTAACTTTCCCTTACTGTCTAACTCCATCACCTCAGCTTCATGGTTCACCCTTCATTTGTTTCAAGGTTCCTCTTTTTAAATATTTATAAAAATATATTTTATAAATATAAATTAAAGGTCCCTCTATTTAAACAAAATGTTTTTCATTTTTAATCATCAAACATTTATTTAGTGTCTAATCTATAGGAGGTTCTTTGCCTTAAGAGTTACAAAGATGAATGAAATCCAATCTCTGGCCTCAAAATCTCTGGAAAATTAGAAATTATTCCAGAGCCCAGATAGAGTAAGCGCCCTTCCAGTATCTTAAATTTAATGTCCTCCAAAGTATTCTGAAATCTTCCCAGCCTCTTGATCCTCCTCTTGCCTTTCTAAGTTCTAGTTCTTTGTTATGACACAGATTCCAGAACTTTCATAGGCCATACTCCTGTAGTCTGCTTAGGTCTGATCAACCTGAGCCACATAATTCCTCTGCGACCCTCTGCACCCTTACCTACAAGGGCATTCCTCACATCCAAGTTCATACTGCTCAAAACAGTGAGCTTGGGGTGTTCATTTTATCTTGATCTCCCTCTGACAAAGAAATCCAGATGACGCAGAACCCACTGAAGACAGTATCTGGAAAATGGCAGTCCTGGGTATGGTGACTCCTTCTCTGAGGCCTCCTTGACTTTGTTCGCTCAGGAGTCTTCTCTTTGGGAACTTTATCTTCCTTGCCTACTTTCTTTCAAATTCAATACCCTTTCTTTCACTCTCTTCGACTTCTCTAGAAATGTGGGGAAAACAACACATTCAACTCAGCTCTAGAGTGAGAGTGCCTATTTCTCCTTCAGTCTGATCAGTTTTGAATTGGTCAAAGAAACCAGCTACCTTCCAGAGCAATAGGAAAATTCCTTAGCCTGTTATCTCACTTCCTATAATATTGCTCACTTTATAATCTTTCTCAGCTCTTCCTCTTATTTTCCTCATAAATGGAAAGGATCATTTTCTAAATGGCCTAAAGCAAGAACATTTCAGACACCATTCAAAGGGAGTACTATTTTCCTGAGGCTTGATCCAAGTACACCACCTGCTTATCCCTTCCTCCCCTAAGGATTATTTCACGTCAGATATGAAATTTTTACTTTCATGATAGGGGCCAAACTACTTACTATTCATTTTAGGAGTCCATTAGGAGCAAATCTCTTAAGGTTAATTTGGTAAGGAATTTTCTCACATGATCTAACACCTAAAAGACTCAGTAGACATTGGCCTAATTTGCTCCAGTTGGAGGTGTATCATTACATTTTGAGGTGAATTCATATACTGCTTTTTTGCAGTAGCCTTAATATTGTTGTAATTAATTTTCTTAGCCCTTCAGAGTTAATTTTTCTTCTGAATTTTTCTTTTTTTATTGAGTTATAGTCATTTTACAATGTTGTGTCAAATTCCAGTGTAGAGCACAATTTTTCAGTTATACATGAACATACATACATTCATTGTCACATTCTCTTTCACTGTGAGCCACCACAAGATCCTGTGTATATTTCCCTGTGCTACACAGTACAATCTTATTTTTTTATTTACCTATTCTACATTTTGAAATTGTCATAGGCAGATTTATGGTTGGTTCTTTCATTCACTCCTTCCTCTCATTCTTTCTCCCATCCTTCCTCTCTTCCTGCCTCCTTTCTTTCTTTTCTTCTTCCCTCCTTACTTCTTGTTTCCTTTCTGCCTTTTTTTCTTCCTTTCTTTTTCTTCTGAAGCTTCCATAGTCTCTGCTCTTCATAACCATAGCAAGATATCTAAGATATTCTCTCCTATGACACAGAAACAAACACAGGTTAGGAAGTCCCACTGTGCTTTCTCCTATTCACCACAGTAACAACCCTCATAAATATCTATCTTATATGAGGAGCTTAGTAGGTGATAACTGAAAAGTCTTTTCCAATGATAAGAAATTTCTGTCCTCTACTGTGGCTTTCATTAATATGAAATAAATGACCTTCAGTCAGGGGCTTCCAAAATTTTTGTATCACTAATCCATGCAAAAATTTTAAGTATGCATTCCTTATATATGTCTATGTTAAATTTTTAGGAACATACTATTCTACTGATATATATGTTTTAAAACAGAAAACCTATTAATTTTAAAGCTATAAGATAAAAATATACATATATATATATAGACAAAAATATAACATAAAAATAGAACAATATTTTTCTCATATCCCAATGGATTGCTTGGCATACCACTGATTGCCTCTAATCTTCTCTTGCCCACAGAATAAGGGGTTCAATGAGGAGGAAATCTGTCAGATTCCCCACTCTAAACCATGGGGGCATAGCATCTGAGGGTCTTAGTATCTGACCAAAAGGAGGAGCAGAAAAGCCAAGAAATGGGCAGGAAAAGAAATGTGAGGACAATAAGATGATGAAGAGAAAGGAAGAAAGGGGTTGAGGTGGCAGAAAAGTGGATGAAGGGAAAATGTAAGAAGTGAAGGGAAATGTAAGAAGTATGTAAGAAGTGACCAGACGTTGTCTCTGATAATAACAAGTTTTAAATAAATAGGCCTACAGGTGAGTTTTTGTTTCAGAAATAACTTTGGCCGTCATCTTGACTCTACTGGGATTTGCCATTCTGGCTATTTTGTTAACAAGATGGACACAACGCAAGCAAAAGGGTGAGTAACAATGAGTCAAAAGGGAGATTCCCTATAAAAGTCACAGAGGAAGGGATGCCAAGATTCAGTTTGAGTTCATTTCTATTTATCAGATATCTAGAGACCTTGCCAATATTCTGGAATCTGTTTCAGCATATGAATCAAAGAATCTCTGACCTATTAGTGATTCCTCTGCAGTTTTAAACTCCCAAAGCTCATGTTACCTATAATGCCAACCAAAAAAAAAAAAAAACCCACATTGAGTTTAACAATAGTAATAATAAGAATACTCTAAAAGAAAGCTATCTGAACTCCAAGGGAAATTAGTGCGGAAAAGAAAACAGAAGAGTGAAGACATTGTGGTAGTAGGTATCACTAGCTAACATAATATAGGAAGAATTCAATAATTTTAATGACTTAATTTTGGGGAGGTGATAAGAAGAAACAAATATAGAGTAGTACTTGTCAGAAACAGAATGGGGCTTACAAAAACAATGACCTATTTCTATGCCAAGAGATGTCTCCAGGATTTTTCTTAGCATCTTTCCCACTCCTTTCAAATCAGCTGCATCCCCTCTTTATTTCTCATCTTCTGTGCCTGTGAGCTCTCAGAAAATAGTAAGTGGCATGGCAGGATAGATAAAACAGGGCTGGCTGGAAGCACTGAGAAGAGGTGGGAACCAGTAATGCATCATGTCAAGAAGACCATTTGGGGAGCAAAGAAGAAAAGTTTAGAGTGAGGACAGTAGAACAGGAAGAAGAACATCTCTCATAAGCAGCTAATAGAAATACTTTTGCTTAATTCTTCCACAGAAATTGATGTCTCAAGATACAGTTCTGAACAAAGTAAGTACTTATACCCACGAGAAACAGAAAGATAGTAAATAAGCATTTATGGAATAAATCAGGGACCAAATCAGTCTTGTTACCATTTCCAGCACCTTGCATAGTGCATCACTCCCTGAACTGAACTACTAAGTTCCTGGGAGAAATCTACCAGAGATTTCTATGCAACAATGAGTGCCAAACTGGAATTTGGCAGGATGAAATAGTAATGGATAGATCTGCATGATTATGAAGCTCTCTTCTGATGTCTCCTGTGGTCCAAGAACAGCCAAAGAGATACCAAACTATTGAAATAGCAGACTCCTCAGGCAATGAAGCAGAAAGTCTAAACCTGGTAGGGAAGAAGACCTCAGCAAGGGAGCCATGGAGAAAAATCTAGCATAGCTAGGAATAATGACAGTGAACATAAGATAATTATGATTGAGAAGGAGAGCACCACATTAAAGATGTGAAGAGGTGAAGCAGATTTTCCACAGCAATATACAGTGAGATGCCAAAGTTACTGAAAGATAGCCCAGGATTACTAAGAAAAGAAAAACATGAGCTAGATGCTGGAGTACCAAGAGGGAAAAGCATCTTTGAGGTCCCTTCTGATTATTATCTAGCCTGGATAATATTAAGGAAATGGTGAATAGCATGGTCACTTAGCTATTCATGCACAGTCCCTAGTTCCTAACAAAGTAAATTAATTCCCACCATTACTCACTATCAGGAGATCATGTCTACATTAGCTCTCAGAGTCTTAAAGTCTCGCTAATTTTCAAGAAGCAAAATCATGGAGCCCTCTCTCCTTTTTTCTCCAGGTGCCAGTCTTCTGGACTGTGAGGATGGTAGAGGTAAATAGATTAGGAACTACTAGAGAATTAACGGAGAAAAAGTGCTCTTTAGAGAACAAAATGGACTTATCTTCCTTTAAGCATGATCTGTCAGGTCAGCACATCTTCTGTTGTTATAATATCCAACTGCCAATCATCTCTCTACATAGATAAACACAAGAAAGACTGAGCATTTTTTTTTCTGAGAGAAGGCAAATATGTTTCCTTCCTAAGAACACTAAAAGAATTCTTTCCAGCTTCTGTTTATCCCAAGATCTTGGAAAGATTAAGGAACCTCCATGAAACAATTTTCTGATGCATAAAATGGGGATAAAATACATAATTTATGGGCA